CTGCTGGAAAAATACAAACGACTATTCTCACAATGAGGGAAAATGGAAAGTTAACTGAACCATTTCTACTGGGCACCCTTGTGTAGTAATCGGCAGATCGGTGACACTTTTGACTGAACAGCAAAACTGCTCTTATATCATGTCATGTGCACTTTCCACCCATCAATATAAATGAGCGTTTATTTCGTCATTGATTCTGATGTCTCCAAAATGCCTGCTGTTGAGACCATGCATCAGCAAAGCCATACAGTTTTAAAGTAGGCTATAGAACTGTGGCCCTAAACAATAGTGGAAAATTCCACAAATTAAAGACAAATTCTATTAAGCGAACGAATCATAATTCACCACAAGCAGGAAGCAAGTTATAATAATATCCATCTTTGCAAATGGAGGTCACTTTGGAAAAAGCAATAGCTTGGATTTTTATTTGCAAGTCGGTGCGCCGAGTTGAGAAAACGCCTGGACCCGTGAATCTAACTTTTAACCTGACGTCACATTTTCAGTCTGTGCATGCTGCATTAGAAATTAGAAGTCAGGCTGCTGACCCAGACTGAGAGCTGAGACGCCAGCTGCTGAGGTAGACCATGTGGAGGGCTTGACCCAGTGTTCCAGTGCTAAATTCAAAATTTTAGAATAAAAAATACAACATAAATCATCTCTCCAAGTCCTCACGATCCTCCAACTCTCTCAGCTGCTCCCAGTGTCCTGTTTATGCTAGCCTATTCCACACACCCACACTCCCTCTAGCCACTCACACCCTCCAGGAAAATTTATGTCCCACTACCCACCACAAAAGTCCTTTACAGCCCTTATACTAACAGTGCCAACTCAGATCAACATTTTCCCCACCACTTATTATTTTTTCCTTTACCCCTACCATGCCAACTCACCTAATATCCGTCACAGACAGACCTCACATAGTGATAAAGTTCGATTCAATAACATTCTAAGTGTGTATTGCACGTTGGAAATAAAGTGTTGTTCACAAAAATAATTCACCACATTTACGTTCCTTCAACTACGTAATGTCTCATAAGGACAAACATTTCAAATGCAGAATTCCTTATAACAACAAGCATTGGAATTCACTTATTGTCCCATTTACCTATCAATTAAAGTGTGAAATGGTAGACATCCTAGAATGATAATAGGTGGTTGTAGAATCAATCATGTAGCAGTAATGAAGGAATGGAAACTTTTGTGGTTTATTTCAACAGGCAGTGTAAAATAGCAAGCAATTACATTTTTCTCCCAAAGATTAAGGGGGAAGAACTTTTAAATGCTTTGACAGCTTAACAGGTTCTCTTCACAATTCTGTTGACAGTTTCAATTAGCAATTTTTCTGCACATTGATGTTTACTTCTATTTTTTTCCAAAAGACACCTAACATTGAAAAAAGGAAAACTACTTCCTCAAAATCGTTCTCGGTCAAGGCAAAATCCACACAATGACAACTTGCACTCCACTTATATCACATATTCTTCTTCACTTCTCTCCTCTCCCAAAGACAGACTTGCATTCTGGTATATTAATGATAACTACAATTGTAACTTAAGTTCCTAAACAGCATGACCACCTGACATCGACCTAGGCACCGGAAAAGACAACGGCAGAAACAGCCCTGTTAACACTAAATTTGTGACTCCTCAGATACTGAAGCAGTGTATGTCCAAATGTTCATCATCTACAAGTCAGGAGTGTGATGGAATACTCCCCACTTGCCTGGATGACTGCAGACCCAAGATCACTCAAGACACTTGACACCATCCAGGGCAAAGCAGCCCACTTGATTGGCACCACATCACAACCATCCACTCCCTCCACCACCAACGCTCAGTAGCAGCAGTGTGTACTATCTACAAAATGCACTGCAGAAATTCACCAAAGATCCTCAGACAGCACCTTCCAAACCCAGGGAATACTTCCGCATGGTCGATGCCTTTTCCGTAGGATAGGCGATTTCAAGACCAAGGGGCCTATTTTTAAGCTGAGACGAGAGAGATTTAAAGACATGAGGGGCAATTTGTCTTTACAGAGGATGGTTCACGTTTGGAATGAACTTCCTGGGGAAGTGTTGGATGTGGGTACAATTATAATGTCCAAAAGACATCTTGATTAGCATGTGAACAGGAAAGACTTGGAGGGATTTTGGCCAGGAGCAGTCAGGTGAGACTAGTTTAGTTTGGGATTATGCCTGGCATGTACTGATTGATCCGAAGGGTCTGTTTCTGCGCTGTACAACTCTCTGACCAAGACGCTATGACAAGGACAGCAAATATATGGAAACACCACCACCTGCAAGTTCCCCTGCAAGCCACTCACCATCCTGACTTGGAAATATACCGCCATTCCCTCACTGCCTTTGGGTCAAAATCCTGGAATTCCCTCCCTAATGGCATTCTGAGTCAACCCACAGCACATAAACTGCAGCAGTTCAAGAAGGCAGCTCACCATCACTTTCTCAATTGGAACTCGAGATGGGAAATAAATATTGGCCCAGCCAGCAATGCTCAGGTCCCACAAATGAATTAAAAAACAGGTGCAGTTTGCTACTTGATTCATAAATTTGTACAGTGTAACATTTTATAATCTCTAGATTCCTTCTCCCTTTCAAATGTCTTACTACTAAATTGGTGACTCCAGATTGAGTCACCTACCCAAGAAGTTAAAGTTGTGTTAAACAACATGGCAAATCAAACCAAATTCCTGTGACTGCT